TGATGTTGGCAACAAATGTACAAATGTGCTTGACACAATGGATGGATGGATGGCTTGTGATAAGAGTTGTACGAGTCCCCCCCCAAAATGATTAAAAAATAATGAAACACAAAGATTTGACATTGACATCCCTCTTGGGGTGTGAGAGGCAGTCACAGAGAGGTGACCAGGATGCGCATGATGAGCCCCGGGGGGCCCTGGGACCCTAACCACCACATTGCTTTCTGGGTTTCTGGGGTCAGGGTGGGCAGCTCATCCACGCCTGGGGATGTTGTTTCTGCCAGGACAGCGAGTGGAGCTGAAAACAGATAGAGCTCTGTAGGTTTCACCAGCCCCACCGCGTCCCAAGTCTCAGGTCCTCTGCCCGCCTGCCTCTTTTTACCTCATGGCCCCTTCTCTGGGTCTTGTGGCTTCTCATTTCTCCCCTTTCCCCTCTGCTTTCTTTCTTTCTTATTTTCTTTGTAGATCTTTTCTCTCTTTCCTTTATTTGAGAATTCGTGTCTCTGTCTTAACGCGGTAATTCAGCTACATCACTTCAGCTAGGAAAGGCTCCGCGGGGCAAGCAGAGAGCGTACGCCCTGCTTCCAGCCTCTCCACACAAAGGCAAACGTTGCTGTTAGCTTTCTGGTTCTGTTTTTGATATCCTTTCAGAGGTGCGTTATACAAATCCAAACACACTTAGATTTTTTTTTACCTAAAATGGTCTCATACCCCACATCCTGTCCTGCATCTTACCTTTTTCCATTTAATGATAGGTCTTAGAAAGCATTCGCGGTCAGTACACGAAGCCTCGCTTTTCTGGCTGTATCAATTGATGAAACCATAAATTATCTTATCAGCTGCTTTTTAAGGAGCATTAGGCTATGGCCAGTCTTCTGTCACTATGGAAACTGTCACATCAAATAAATGCCTATATGTATGAGTTTCCACCCATTGAGTATATTCAAAGGATACATTTCCCTAGGTGGAATTGCTGAGTCAAAGGTTGTTATGTGAATAAATTTGATGAAATTTGCGAAGACAACCTTCGTCGCCTTGCACTTGTTCTTGCTCTTATCAGCAATGGACGAGAGTGGCTTCTGTCCCTACACTTTGAAACATGGTAACGTTTCTGCCAATTTGATAGATCAGAGAGGATAGCTTCCCTATTTTGGTACAATTTACAGTTCTTTCATTATTATTGAGACTGAGCATAGTTCATATTTTATTTCTTTCTACCCATGAGCTATCCTTCATGCCCTCTCTTTCTCTTCCTTTTGGACTGCGACCTGTCTATGGATCTGTGGAAGCTCATTAACTAGTGAGCATCTTCATCTTATACAATTTCTCTGCAGATTTCAAGTTTCTTTGTTGTACAGCCAATCCCTTGCATGTGGAGGAAAAATGATGTTCTTCAAAGAGCAAATGGAACCTCTTAGGGTCTCCCGATGGACCAGCGCCAACTCACCTGAACTTTGGGGCCTCCTCCAGAGACCCTGGAGACGTAACTCATGATGTATTTGGCAGCTACGGTCTTCCCAGCACCACTCTCACCACTGAGGATAAAGAAACACAAACAGCTGCCGATGAAGTGGATCACAACCGGCCCTGTCCTCCCCGAAACACAACCCCAAGGAAACGACGGAAACAGGCAGAAAGAAATCCAGTATGACATGCACAATGCGGGTTGAAAAGATTAATCACATCAGGACGAGGGTACCGACATCACTTGGTTAGCCAACTTGGTTCACGTGGGGTGGACCAGCGATCATCTTAATTACAGCATTTATGCATTTGAAATGCCCAATGACAGGAAAATGACTCAGAGAAGTAGGAAATGTTACGTGGAAATTACAAATGTCCAATGAAAAGTGAAAACGTATGGAAAAAAGCATATGAAGTAATGGCATCTAAGCAGTCTCTAATCCATGGTTACCAAACTGTATTAAAACAACAACGAAAAGCACACACTCCCACAAAGAACTGGAACTAGCTACCATGAGATAGTAGCAGAAGTTTTGGTCAAGGTAAAGAGATTAGGAGAGACTTTCAGTGCATCATTTTCCATTCTTTTAATAATACCGTTATGTTATGTCTGAAATCAAAAGAGGAAAATGTAGGCATATTCAGATTTCAAAACATGTGCCTTGACTCGATGTAAGTATCTTTATTTTGGGAGTTCTAAAATTAAATGATGAGGCAACGTTAATCACATCCTGTAGAACAAAGACTACCTTCCGTTTGGCAGCCTTTCAGCGTGGGGGAAGTCTTTTGCTACCAGCACTGCCCACTCTTCAAAATCCCCTTCAGCTCACGGTGGCCGTAGTTCTCAGCACGCTGAAGCCACTCAGCTGCCTACTCGTAGCCTTTGAGTGCCCGTGACAGATGTAATTAGGCTAAAGGAACCCGCATATTGTAAAATTACTCTGGAATTTAATGTGAAACAGTCAAGCTGTTCTATGTTCACGGAATGGCATTTTTGCTTGCTTTGGTGGTGGTCAAGAACTTTAGGGTGCAAACGCATGTTTTCCTGTGAGCTCTGAGCCTGATGAACGATCATCAGTTACTGGGTTACCCAAGAAGAGGGAAAAAGGGGCCTAGGCGCGAAGTAAGCAAAGGCACCCTGCATATAGCTCCTATGGGAAACAAAATATGAAATAATTTGATATAAAAAACAAAACAAAAAAATTAACAAAAAAACCAAACAAACAAAAAAAACGATCAAAGCAGTCCTCATGACAAAACTCAGAACCTTGCTGAATTTAGTGCAAGTATTGGGGTTGACTTGATGTCAACCAATTTAATGTATTTTTATGTTTATTTGGGGAGGGGTGTCA